ACAAACGTGTCCAAATACTCCTTCTTCAATCCTTCTATTTGATCAAGTAGTTTCTCTACTGTTGGTGAATTGTACTTTTGAAGGAGTCGAAATGGTCGAAGATGACCAGATCGACCAAACTCGTTGGAGTTGTACTCGACCAATGCGTCGTATACGACCAGAATGAGGTTGAAGAGCAGAATCGACCCAATGAAGACGACCGTGTTGAGGACGTAGAGGCGGAATGAGACGATATCCAGTTTGAGGCGGACTAGGAAGAGAATGGCATTCGTCAGGCGGCCAATGGCCATGTGAAATGAGTGGAGGGTGACGTAGACGATGGCAATTTGGGTTGAAATGGCACCAAATCGAATTTGAGACAGTTTGTAGCGGACGTGGTTGAGGAGGCCAGGAACGACCTTGGGGCTGGGCTGGTTCAGGGAGACTGAGACGGTGCGAATGAGGGCAAAGAGGGCGCAGGCCCAGCCGTTGCAGACCACGTTGTAGTTCACGTAGATTCGTTTGACCAGAAAGTGCTCGTTTGGCTTCGTGAAGAAGACGCGGTTGATGTGGCCGAGGCGGACGAGGAGGAGCGTGAAGAGGAACGCGGACGCGAAAGTGGCACCACAGTGGAGCAGGGGACTGCGAGCGAGGGTGGTGACGGTGCAGTAGAGCGACACAGTCAGAAAAATGGGCCACATTCTGTAGAGGCCGAGGGTGAAGAAGACGCATCCAAAGAGAAGCAGGCTCGGAACAAGCGTGGCCAGGTAGAAGAAGGCAGCACCGTTTCGTCCACCAGCAACAGGTTTCGTCTCTCTTTTTATTGGTTTATGCATGGGTAAGAAAGTGGAAAATTTACTTGAGGGTCTCTGCCTTCTCGTAGGCCTCGATTACGCCCTGCATGGACTCCCTGGCCACAGCCATCTCCTCCAGGTCCATCTCAAATCGCCTATAATTCTCAAGAAAGGCACTTCTCTTTTTCAGGACGTCAAACTGCCCCGTGATCTTGTTTAGCACGCTTCTGATGGCCGTGCTGTTGTTGTAGGCCACGTTCACCTCTCTTCTGTTCGTGACTGCGGTTGTGTAGTACGGCAGGCCAAGGAAGTTGATTTTCTGCTGGGAGAGTCTCTGTGCCCGCAGGATCGAGCCTGGCTCAAGGGAGCTGTCCAGCACGTTGAAGATGCCCAGGAAGCCGTAGATGCTCGACACCTCGTAGCTGCAGAGCATGCTCTTCTGCTTCACCAGGTTGTTCACAACTTCGCCTACGTTAAATCGCCTATTGCTGTTTTTCACTATTGAAGGAGTCACAAACTTGAACTCGTTTCCTGGCACCAATGCATTCAGAACAGATCGGTTATCAGCGTAGACGTACTTGGGGAACCTGATTGAGGACGAATACGATGCAATGACGTCAGCTGCTACCGAATTCATTGACTCGTACGAAGTGGTCTTTTTCAGGCTGCTTCCTGTCTGTTTTGCCAGGGCGGAATTATCGACCACGACAACTGCACTAAAGTGCTCCTTTGCCTTGTTCAGGGAGAGTATCGTGTTATACGGCTGTACCACCACGTCAGATGCGTCATTGTTGTTTGGTAGCACCACGAAGTCAACAAAACTCCTCTTTGGATACGAATCAGTCAGCTTCTCTCCCAGGAAGCTGCTGAATCCTGAACCAGTTCCACCAGCACACGAGTGAATCAGTTGAAATGTCTCGATGCTGTCGCATGCCTCTACGTTCCTCTGAATGATCTCAAGCAGCTCCTCCTCGTTTGCTGCTGCCAAATAGAAGCCATGTGCCCAGTTATTCGATGCTCCAGTTCCCTCCTTCGTCAAAAACGTGTTTGATGAATTGGAAATGGCCTGGCTTATTGCACGTGGCTCAGTGTCAACTAAGACGGTCCTTGGAACAAGCTTCCCACTCTCTGTGGTGTAGTAGAACTTGTCTCTTCTGTCTACGCCTCCTTCTCCAGCCTCCTCGTGTTCAGCTGTCACTTTTGACCAGAATTCATTTCCAATTTGGTTCCCACATTGGCCCAGTTAAATTGTAAGCGTCTCTTTCATTGGGGCAACAAAAACACCCAGGAATTTACTTCATTTCTTCGTATTTGACCAGGTCAAAGGTGTCTCCCTGTTCAAAGAGGCTGTTTAGCACCAGATTTCCATCAAGAACTACGCCATTCTTGACCACGTGACGTGTGTCATTCTCCGTCAGCAGCTCCTTGACCAAGGCAGTTCCATCCAATTTTATTTCCTCCTTCTTTTCTGCCGTGTTTCTCACTAGCACCAGTTCAGTTGTTCCTGGCTCCAGCTCTACGTCAGTCTGAATGTAGTTGACTCCTTCAATAAAGCCACATTCTTCAGCAGTCAGGCTCCTTGGCAACTCGATGTCTTCGTAGAACAATTTGCCTGATTTATTTCCAAGGACATTTTTGTACAGCTGTTCAACCCTGTCTGAATCATCCATGTAAAAGACCATTTCAATGCCACTGTTCTTCAGAATAATCATATACTTGGCATTCTGGGTTCCAAACTCCTTGTTTTTCTTGGTTGCAATGCTCTTTTCGTATCTGACTACTCCCAGCTTCCTTCCTGCTATGAAATTATTCACAAACTCACCATTCCACATTTTGTTGATTTTGACCTGTTTTGATGACTTTGTGACCACCTTCATCTTCGCTGTCTCATTCTTCACAGGTTGTTTTGCTTTTGTTGCTCTTTTGACTGGTTTTAGGTCCTTATTGCTTTCTTCTGGTTCTATTTTGGTGCTTGTCAACGGCTTCACTGGTGTTATCTCCCCATTCTGTGACTCGTTCTTGCTAATTGCCTCATTCAGTTTCACGTCATTGAAGTCCTTCTTCTTTACCATCACATCGCGTACTAAATTAGCTGCTTTAATGCGCTTATCAAGACCAATGTTGTGAATTTTCAACATTTTCTCACCATTTTCATTCTTCTTCATCTTTTTCGGATTTTCCTCTGTGCTCTCCACCACCACAACATCTGTCTCATTTTGTGCTGCTTTCTCACCCACTTTCTCATCATCGGACGTGCTTAGGACGATCAGAGAAGCCGCTGCCATTTGAATTGGTGTTAGCATAAGGATACAAAAATATGAATATTTAAACACATCATATAAGACCATCATATGATACAACATATAGATTATTGTATGCACCATAGTGTACCTAATACTGATATACTATCCACTCTTCCTCTCATATCCCCACCAACTCTTTTTAATCTTTTGTTTGTAAGTCGCATTTTAGAGCATTTTGCATTTTCATTGTTCTTAATATGACACATCTCATGTGTTTGTGTTGTATTTGTGTATACACACTTTCACAACAATATTATACGGTATCAACCTGTCTCTTCCACCTTCTTCCTTAATCAAATTCCCCTCCAATCTTTTCCCTCCACATTTTCTATAAATATTCACGAAAAAACAACCCCCATGGCAACACAAGTCCCAAAGAGCGCAGGTAAAGCACCAGTGAAGAGCATTGCTTCAGCACGTACGAGCAAGAGAACCAGAAGGAAGGCCACTGACCCATCGACTGGCCTGATGTTCAAGTCGGCTGTCAAGAAGTGTTTGAAGGAGTCTGTTCAAGATGGATCGATAACAGTCACCAGAAACACCCTTGCTGTTCTCTGTGGAATTGCGAATTCACTGGCTGAGGACGCAGCAAGCACAGCTGCTCTGATTGCACAGAAGGTGAACAAGAAGACCATTGGAGGTGATGAAGTCATCGATGCATTCAACCTGATTCTGACTGGTGAGTTGAAGAAGCTCTGTGTACGTGAAATCAGGAATATGATGAGCAAGTCTAATACTCAGAAACCACCTAAATAAAATAATAAATGAGATGATTTACACCTTGGTACTTTCCCTCCTAGTTTTATTTATGAAGAATTGTTCAATTTGAGAAAAGAGACCCAAAATGAGAAACAAGGGGCTTGTGGATGCAACAAACAGAACTAGGAATATGGAGAGGGAATACATACGAGGACTGACTGAGATGGTGGTAGAGAGAACCAAGAGACACGATACAGCGATGGCTGACTTATTGGAGGAAAATAGGCGACTTGAGAGACTAATAGCACAAAAAGAGGATGCGTTGCTATTGGAAAAAGAGAAGGCAGAAAAAGTGGCTGAGAAGAGGATTGAACCTGCAGAGAATGAGACTGAGAAGATGATGAAATTGCACCTGAAAATAAAAGAGTTGGAGGATGAAAACAGGCGATTGACGAAGACCAAAATGGCAGATGAGTTGAAATTGTACAGGGCGATGGTGAAAGAGAAGGATGAGAGAATACGAAAGCAGGAGATGGAGATACAGAGGCAGAAGAATGAGATGGAGGAGTATAGGAATAAAAGTGTTGAAATGAGGGATGTGGAGAAGGAGTTGAAGGGAGATGTGATGTACGAGAAGTCATTTCTGATGCATCAAACAAGACTATCACCAGAAAGAAGCATCAGAAACAATAAGGGAAATATGATCAATATTGATGGACTATTCAATGTGAAAATGGCAAAGCAGAAGAGACTGGGAAAGGCAAAGACATCGATAAAAACAGTCAAAGAAAACAACAAGAATGTTGAGAGCAAAAAAGTAGAGAGTATCCTGAAGAAAGAGAACAAAAGCTACTTCAAGGACCTTTCTTTTGGAAACAGTAGCCCGATATTCGATAGAAAATACATGAAGGGATTTAAATAGAAATAAATTGACTAAACTAAACATATTTTACCCATGAATAGAATAATTATAAAAGATTTACCAAAATTTAGTACAAAAGAAGAAATAGAGAAGGAATTCAGCAAACACGGCACAATTACAGACATATACATGCTTAGAAATAGCAGAAATAATCGAAATACGTTCAGAAGAGTCTGTTTCGTGGGATATGGGACCAGTGAGGAGGCAAAAGTAGCTGTAGAATACAGAAATAATTCGATGTTTTGCAACCATAAAATTAGAGTGGAATTATGCACCAAAGAAGAGACTAAAGAGAGCAAGAAACCACTAAACCAACACAAACTAAGCAGTTCAGAAAGACAGGCCTACTACAACAGGGAATTCTACATAACAAATCTCCAAGAAATCAGTACAGCTGCAATAGAAAGTGAGCTAAATAAAATTGGCAAACTTGAGCAGATTGAAGAGTGTGAGAAAGGAATCAGAGTCAAGTTTGAAAAGAGAGAATGCGCATTGGACTTCTACAAGAATTGTAAGGTGATTTGTGGTAGAAGAATCAATATCAAGATATTTGATGATACCAGAAGTGCTATTGATACAAGTCACTACAGTACGCTCTTCTTTGACTTCCAAATGGTTCTTAGCACCCTAACTAACAAAAGTAGAGAGAATCTGCTTCAGAGCAAAAGCAACGTTGGTATCTCAGTCTCCCTGGCTGAAACTGATCTAGTTCAGAAAACCAAACACTTTCTTGCTGAAAATGGAATTGATCTGAACAGTGCACCTGTTCGTGACAAATCAGCCCTGATCGTACGCAGTGCTGATCTCCTCGGTGTCTTGGATCAAATCAGCTGCAAATTCACCACATCAGTGGCACCAAGTGGAGCATTGGCCATTTTGCACTTTGAAAATGAGAAGGAGGCAGCAGCCACGCAGAAACAGCTGAATTTGAAGAGACACAAAAATGGAATTGTTTACGCCGAATACTCCTTGAAGGGAACTAGCACCAAATCAGTGTCAGAGACGATTTCACCAGAGAAGCCATCTCAAACCAAACTGATTGTGAAGAATCTCCCATTTCAGGCCACAAAAAGCGAAGTATCGAAATTATTCGGTTGCTTCACCAAAGTGGTCGATGTTCGCATTCCACAGAAGGAGGATGGAACAGCTCGTGGCTTCTGTTTCATCACAGTCGAATCGACTGGTGCCGTAGATCACCTCATTGACGTTCTTGGTGTCAGCACACACCTGTATGGCCGTAGACTGATTTTAGAGAGAGCCCTCAAATGATATTGATCATTAATATTTACTCGCCCTGATATCATAGTATCCTGCTGCCTGTCTCAGTTTTATTCTCCTGATATCACGCATGCAGTTGTAGGCCAGTGCTGGAATTATCACACAAACAGAGAGTATCATCCATCCAGCTGAATCAGATTGATGAGTAGGTGATAAAATAGTTGATTCAGGTTGAGTAGGTTGACTAGGTTGACTAAGTGGCTCAGGTAGTTCAGGTTGAGTAGGTGCTTCAGGTATTTCAGGTATTTCAGATGTTTCAGGTAGTTCAGGTAGTTCAGATGTTTCAGGTAGTTCAAGTGGTTCTAATGTCTCTTCTACTACTTCACTTACTGTATTTTCTACTACTTCACTTACTACATCTTCTTCTACCTTTTCTTCTACTACCTCTACTACCCTCTCTTTCCTCTCTCTTTTCTCTTTGATGAATTCAGTCAGATCTCTGTGTATTCTCTTACTCTTCTGATACAATACAATCCCCCCTTGTAATGCATCTTCTACCATTCCAGCTGTCTTCTGCCTTATTCCTGGTACCAGAAAGAATGCTACAAAATACACCCACCATACAATAGTAATCAGTTTCACTGCCTGCTTTTTGGCATAATACGCGTACTTGTTCTGATTCACTGGGTTGTATAGTCGCTGCTTCTTCTGTTTTACCACCCTACTGCATATCTGCACACATTCACTCGATTCCTCAACAATCACCCTTCTTCTTGGCTTATTCTTCTGCCTCGCATGGTATCTCTCCAACACCTGTTGTATCTTAGGGGTAGTTAGTGAGACCTGGGCAGATGGCAGTTTGACCACATCGGTGTTGCTGTTCTCATTCAACTCACATTTCTCATTCAACTCAGCCTTAACATCCACTCCTCCAATTGCTATTTTAAATGGCTTCTCCTGTGCCACAATCTCAGTCATCTTCTCACAGCTGCTCTCTTCCATCGAACTGATCTCATCTGGCTCAGTCTCAAGCTGCGTTGACTCTGCCGTCGTCAGCTCAGAGAGCGTCTCCATCTCATTCGTCGACGTAGTTGAATCCGATCGTGTCATGTCTGAAACAGTGGCATCCAAATAGTCGCGAATTGAAAACACGGCCTTGTTTTGGATTCCACCTCCTTCGTGACGTGTTCCCGTAGCCTGATTCCCTTCCTGAATGCTGCTGTGGCAAACAATGAACTTGTCTATCTCTGCAATGTACTGGAGCTGCAACTCGAAGTCGTAGCACTCAATTGACAGCCCGTAGTTCGTATTTAGACGTAGATTGCACTTGTTTAGGTCGACAGCCATTCTGTCAGTGGCTGAGGCACTGTACAGAAAATGAAGCTTCTCTCTTGTTGTCATCCTCCTGTACTCAGCCACTGACCCAATTGCAGCCACGTCACCAGGTCGAATGATGAACTCAACCAGAAGGGTGCTGCCCTTTCCAGCATGGGCCATTGTGGTCCGATAGAGCATCTGGTAGGCGTCAAGAGGCAGATTGTGCTTGAAGACGTATTTGGCCTCTATCTGGCTCTCACTCAGAAGGGCCTCTACTCTTCTGACTCCACCGTACACTTTCAGTAGAACAACATTTCGAATTGAAACAGGTCGACTGAATCTGATTGTCAGGAGACCATTGCTCCCTAGTGCTGTCTCAGTGATGATGTCCTCTGAACTCTGTCTGAATGAACTCCTCTCGTTCTGATTCAGGTGCACTGTGATTTCGTCTGACTCCATTTGTGGATAAACAAAGGCAACTGAAATCTGAGACAAAGTAAACAAATAATCTAATCATTACTAATAAGGTTATCAGTAACGATTAGACTATTTAGTTGTTCCACTTACTATTGATACATTTGTTGGGTAGGAGTAAGTAACTATTCGTAATATCCTTATTCATTTCCAATGTGATTGATCACTGATTTCCTACTACTTTCATCACTTCTACAATTCTACCCATGTCTGAAATCCAAAGTAATACGTGCCTATTCTGCAAACTGAAGGAGATCAAGCACAACATTCTTGTTGAGAATGAATCAGTCTATGTCATTGCAGATCGGTATCCATGCTCTAGGTGCCACCTGCTGGTCATCAGCAAGAAGCACACGAAGTTGCTGCACGAGACAGATGACACCACTTTGACTGATGCTGTTCTGATGCTCAAGCAACTTGCCCTGAGACTGGGACTAAGAAGCTACAACATCCTGAACAACAACACGTTCAATCAGCTGATTCCACACGCCCACATTCACCTGGTGGAGGCATCTGAGAAAGCGAACTTCACCACAGTCCCTGACTCAAATCTGAGTGAAGTTGAGTACCAGAAGAAGGTAGAGGACTTGAAGAAGAGACTCGCTGAAAGCAAGGCAGAAGGAGGGTAACAGAAAGGGACTACTCATATTTATGGGAATGAATTAAAGAAGACTGAAATACCATTTTGTTGTCTCTTCTTGTCTGATGAATATTTCACCCCAATGAGCAACAAGCCCAAGCCAGGATGCACCGTATTCGTCGGAAACATCGACTTCGATGTCCCAGAAGAGCGAATTGTCCAAGAACTTGGGCGAGCTGGGAAAGTTGTAAGCTTCCGCCTCCTTCTTGACAAAAATACAGGGAGATCAAAGGGATACGGGTTTGCTGAATACGAGAGCCCAGAAATAGCAGAACAGGCCATGCGTACGCTTAAGATCTCATTCAATGGGAGAGCAGCCAAGATAAACTACGCTGAAAACGACCTGCCTACGAAGATAACGGAAGAGAGCGACCTAAAGAAGGAGCTCGTTGCCGAGGAGATCGCACGAGCAGTGGATGAGGACGCCCACGGGGCTGAGATCATCGGATACGTCAAGTCACTGGCCGTGGACAATCCGTCTCATCTCAGGGAGATGCTTCATGAGAATCCAAGTTTGGTTTGTGCCGTGATGCACCTGTTTCTGAGCATGCCTGGTCTCAGGGAGGATGCGATGAAGGCACTTTCTGAGTCACTCGACGTGAACAGAAGCAGGGCGCAAATTGAGAGCAGAATTCTGTCGATGACTCAGAAGGAGATGGAGCACTACGGGGAGGACGTGAGAAACAGACTCGTGAAACTGCGATTTCAGTTACAGAGAAAATGATCAAATTGATCAAGTGGAATACGATGCCATTTATTCAATAAAATGCTCAATAAATCATTCTTTGGTCTCAACCAGTCCAAACCTTCTTTTCACCTCGTTCTTCCTTCTCAGAATCTCTCCCAGAAATGCCTGTCTTTCTTCACTCATTTTCAGTTCAGTTATTCTCAGATTGGATGGGTCAATTGGAACCAGGGCTGTTCCACCTGTGCTCCTATTCACGGTGCAGTCCTCTACACACGCCTTCATCTTCTCCAAATTCAGCTCAACGACCTTCCCACTCTGCCCCTTGAACTTCCCTACGACCACCTCAACGGTGTCGTCCTTGCTCAGAATCGTCCTTCGCAGCCCATGCTGCTTCCGCAGATCGCGAGAGAGCGGACTCGCCATCTTCTTCAGCCTCATTCCGCCCTCTGAGCCAAAGTGCCTCTTCCTCTGCTTCCCTCGTGCATTGCTCACCCTTGGATTTCGTGGTGTCCTGGATCCTCGTTGCATTGGGTAAAATTTGCGCATTTTGTTCCCAATGGGAGACCAGTTCAAAAACACCAACTACGTCTTCAACCTCGTTCGTAGCTCAGGAAGACGTGAGATACTCGAAAGGCAGATGCGACTGCCCAAGCAGCTCTCCAAGATACTCAACCTCCTCAAGAAGGAGCAGAAGGCAATTCCATTTCTGGCCAAAGTCACCAGGAAGGAGGCACCAAACTACTTCGAAGTGATTTCAAGGCCAATGGATCTGGGGACGATGACAAAGAAGCTTGGTTTGTACAGGAGCATGGCCGAGTTCAAGGCCGATCTCGATCTCATCTGGGACAACTGTCTCGCCTACAATGTGTCAGCAGAATACTATAGAGACTGTGCATTGAGCATGAGAGAGGTAGCAGATGGACTCTGTTCAAACAGATCCAGGGCGTATCCGATGGTGCCACGGATTGTGATGCCTTCGAGACCACCTTCTGCCACGAGCACGAAGGATGAGGCAAAGAAGCATGTTCTGGAACACTTCAGGGCAGTTGGATTTGAGAATGCCAATGTTACGGCATTAGAGTTGGTTATGGACGCATTGAATAGGAAAATAAGACAGGGACTGGAAAAGGGTAGTTAGTCACATTCTGGTAGACAGTCACATAGTTTATTATATACGTACTAGTTACTCACAGTGTACTTATTCATCTATTTCGTATTCAAGAATGTCTTTCCCAGTTGCAATGAATATTCGATTGGTTCTGGCACCAAGGCCAGAGACCGACTTGAATCCAAGCGACTTGTGGGAGAACGTGTCAAGGGGCACAAATGTGGATGCATTGAGTATTCTGAATTGTTGATGCATTTGGGAGGCATACATGACGTATTTGGGGGTGTAGGCGAATAGGGTGGGTTCAGTCTTGGTGTTGGTTAGTTCCTTGACCACCTTTAGGTCGCAGTCTATGGCAATTACGCCAGTTTCAGTGGCAATAAACAGGTGGTGACTATCAGAAAAGAGGCCAGTGAACGTGAATTTGGAATCGAGGCTGAGCTGACTGAGAAACTGCAGGTTGCCATCCAGAACAAGAAGAGTCCTATCCTCCTTCATTCCAACAACGTAGTCGTTGAAGAGGGTGAGAGAGACAAACTGCTCGTGGAACGTGTTCTCAACAATTAGGTTCGATGACACCTGTGTGAGACTGCTTCCAAGAAGATACATCTTCTTTGAGTTATGCGAATAAAGTATCCTTGTGATGCATCCAACTCCTTTTCTGAGGCATTCAACTGCTCCTGTCTTGATGTTGAGGGTGTAGAGCACTGCTGAGGAGTCAGATGCAAAGTAGACAGTCTCACCAACTAATTCCAGGTCACTTATTCTAAAAAATTTGAATTTGTATGTCTTGTGCTCCTTCATGGATTTGTCTAGGACGTAGACCAAGTTGAACGTGTCTACGATGATTGCAACCTCTTCAAACACCTTCAGCATCTTTATTTTGCATCTGGCTGCAAATACACTATTTTTGAGATCCACCCTGTCTGGCTCAGTTCTTTTGATTCTCTTTTTGACGTCACCGTCTTTCAGATTCAACACGTCCTCGTTCGTCTCAATATCATCTGAGTCGTCCCATGCCTGTTTTCCATCCAGAATGGATGAGACGTCACTTTCTGTTTCAGAGGTTAAAAAGGAGTCGTCAGAAAAGGAAAGAAAGTCGTCTGACTCGTCCAGACTGCAGGAAACTACCTCGTTTTCTTCGGCAGATGCACTCTCGTCCTTCTTGCTCTCGGCATCGGCCTTCTTGGAGTCCTCCTTTGCTTCCTCTATAGTCTTTTTGCGACTTTCTGGTTTCATGAGGGATAAAAATTTAAACAAAACAAGAAAAAGGTGAATTTATTGCTCAGAGCTACTTCAATGGAACAAACTTCGTAGACTGAATTGCTCCTACGCCTGGTCTACCGTGAGATGGATGCACCTTCGTTGGAACGTAGTCCTTCAGCTTCTTTCCAAGCATCTCCGTCTTTATTTCCACTGGAAAGAATCCATTTCCACAGTGTACTGCAATTGTGCAGCCAACCATTGATGGAAGGATGATCATCGTCCTCTGATGCGTCCTAATTGGTCCTGGTGCCTCTGCGCTCTTGCTTGCCTTTGCATGCCACTGTTCAACCTGTTCCAATAATTCATTCTCATATTTGTTTATGCCTCTGAGCAAATGGCGCCTATTTTTGGAAGGCACCAGCATTGCGAACTCGCTCATTTTCATCGTGTTCAGAGTCTCCATGTCCTTTCCCTTGTACATGAACGTTTTGAATGCTCTGGTTTTCTTGGTTTCAGCCATTGGGTAAAAAATTGCAAAAATTCCAAGAAGTCTCCACCATTCACTCTCCTTCTATGGTGTATTTGTCAATCTCAAGCACTCGTCTGAATTCAAACTCACTCGTCTCCTCCTCTCCCAGCAACACCGACTCCACTGACATCTTCGTTTCCAATCCGCCTACAAATTCCAATTCCAGTGGAAATAACCCATTTACATCCAATCCCGAATACTTCACCTCAAATGTCTCATTTCCTCCTGCTTCAACCTTGTCACTCACCAAATAAACCATTCCATCTCCTTCTTCGTATTCTCCATCTATTTCCAGGTCACCAATTTCCCTCACGCATATTCCAACTCTCAGGTTTCTTATTTTTCTGGTTGCCTTAAATGTCAGCGTATAGCAATACTTCCCATTCTCCTCATCTACCCAATATTCAAATCCAATAGGCATCTCCTTCAACTTCCCACTCCATTTCAATAGGGGAATGCTCTTCTCAATCTGTCTCTCTTTCTCGAACTTGAATGTCGACTTAGTCAACGCATTCTTATCCAAATACGGTGAAAACTTACACGCCTTATTCAGGTTCCCCATCTTTATCTTTGCTGCCTTGTATCCTGCATCGTATATCACCATTACCATTTCCCCTGAGACCTGATTAACCTTCACATAGTTCTCCTTATCCATTTCAACATTCAGCTTCTCTTTCAGAATAAGCAGCAATGGCTTCTCTGACTTGTAAACAACCTTCTTTTTCACTGGTTTTGAAATAGGCTCATTTCGTGTCTCCTGGGCCATTCCCACTGTCTCACGGTATCTGTTCATCATCTCATCCTCCAGCATCTTCTTCTGGTGCTCCTTCGCTCTCTGCTGCATTTCAGCACGTTGTCCAGCAACCATCATCTCGTGAATGCGTTCATCCTGTGACTCAAGCGTGTTTACAGTCTGAACATTGTCGAATACAATGCTATCTCCACATAATATGTTATCTGCGTAGTACAACACCTCATACATGTCTGTTCCAGCACAATTCCTGATGTATTTTACTACTTTATGTGCATCCAATAGAAATGTACTCAGGTCTGTTTGTGCTACGTAATAGACTGTTCCATTTGTTGTATACACGTATCTGTATGTCTCCTTCTCAATAACACCCTCTTGAGCCAACTCTTCATTTGTGAATTCTGTAACGAAGTAGTTCATTCTGCTTTGTGACATCTCGTGTGTGCTCCTGAACATCCTCTGCCTTGTTGCCAGATCTACAGCAAAAATGGACACAAACATGGGCAAAAAGAGAAGCAGTGGATGAGATCAGGCTGACTTGGATGCTTGATAAGAGTGGTTTATGCGCATAAAGTAGTAGAATATTTTACCCCATGGCACAAGATGAACGAGTTACGTCTAACAGGATGACAATCTACGAGAAAGCAAAGATAATCGGAGTGAGGGCGTGCCAGCTTGGAGACGATGCAGTGGCATTTGTAGACGTAACTGGAATGACAGATGCGATGGAAATAGCAAAGAAGGAGCTGAATGAGAAGAAGCTGCCGTATATAATAAGAAGGAAGCTTCCAGATGGGTCACATGAAGATTGGAAGCTGTCTGAGATGCTTATTCCTGACGTAGACTACGACTGAGACTGTTGAAAACTATTTGCTTATTTTTGAAACAAAAAATAGATGATTTGTAGGCCATGAAGGATTTGTACGACACTGGGCAGATTCAGAAAGAGAGTCAGAAAAAGAGACAGTCACAGGAAGATGCAGACAAGCACATCATGCAGGAGGCAGAGAAGATAGAAGAACAGAATCTTCAGAAGGCAAAACAAGCAAGAATGAAATTGGAAGAAGCGGCTGAGACACAGAAGGGGACTACTCAGACGATGAGAGCACAAGGAGAGAAGATAATCGATGCAAAGAAGAGTGCTTCGAAGACCCATAAGAATGCAAAGGCAGCAAATGATTTGGCTATTGATTTGCATGAGAATAGAAATGCATGGGCCATAAATTGTGGATGCATAACAAGCATAAAGAAGTGGTGTTCACGAGAAGGAGGCGAAGAGGAAGCAATGAGTGGATTGAAGCGAAACAGGGGTGGAACAGTCAAAGACAACGACGAGGAGTCATCTGAAGTTATAGAGGTGGAAGGAGAAGAATACGTGAAGGGAGCGAATAAGACAGATACAGAAATGAAGAAGATTCTTCATGGTTTGAAGAAAATTAACAAGGAGGCTGACGTACAGACCAAGGTAGCTGGAAAGCAGAAGACAGACCTGGAAGATATAAGTAAGGCAAATGAATACACAAAGAAAGAAGTGGATGCTACAAATAAGCGACTTGAGAAGGATCTTGAAGAATAAATCATCTATTTATGCTTATGATTATTATTTTAAGCTTATTTCCACAACTTCATGGCCAAGTTCACCACCCAAAACAGTCGTAATACCGTTGTTATTCAATTCAAATGCGATATCAAAGACGTGTCCTACTGAAACAGGCTGCTTCCTGCAACTGTTTTTATCTCGCACATCCAAATAACCAACATATTGTTCATTATCTTGTATAATTGTTGTAAAAAGTAATCCATAGGTCGATACATGTCTCAGGTTGCTCATTTCCATACCCATTTTCATGTTGAATACGCTGTAGTTAGCCATACTGATCACAATTAGTCCATCAAACTGACCACTTAAAACAAATGATCTTTCTGAAATGCAAATTGATTCAACTGCTCCACCTGTGGAATATTCCATCAATTTGGTATTGTTTTTGAAGATGAACACTTTTTTATCAGTTCCAACAGCAAATACGCCACCTGAGACTGCCTTGATACAATTTGGATTATCGAGCATCTTTCTAAATAGAATATTTCCGTATTGATCACCAACAATTACTTGATTAACTGATAATCCATAGTATTGATCACCATTCTTATCAATATCAATAATCTGTGAATCTCCTGATATCGTATTGATGTGTTCAATATGATCTGAATATGCGTAGATCTTGCCTGATTCAGCTCCAACAAGTAGACAGCTGTCAATGAATGCACAGGTTGAGACACTTTCGTCAATCTGAACCAGATCCAGAACGTGTTCAATCTTGGAAATGCAGTAGATCATTCCATCAACGGTGACTACGATGAATTTGACGTCATCAGCTGATTTCTCAATAATTTTGCAGAATACGATTGATTCACCAAAACTGTCACTCACCAGAAGAATCTCTTCCGATTTGATGTCACTGAGAACAACTGACTCGTTGCCACCGCCTACTGCAATGACTGAATTAGCAATTGAGACCGTATAAACTTCGTCTGAATTCTCTTTCTCATTCTCATCGATCACCTCAATTTGATTGGCCATGAAAACAGGCAAAAATGAGTCAAAAACAGCCTTATTTCCACCACGTTCTTTAAGCCAATTTGATAAAATTTAAACCATGATGGCTGAGCGGTCAAAAGCGGTGGACTTAAGATCTATTATCCAAAGGGATGCGTGGGTTCGAATCCCGCTCATGGTATTTTTATGGCGCATTTTTGGTGATTTCAGGCTGAACAAACGGGTGAATCTGTGCTATGTACGTCACAGCCCACGAAACCCACGCAAATGCAAGTGCTCCAACCACTGGAATGGCGTAGTCTCTATGCTTTGAGTCCTTGTTTGCGTATCCAATGGCCAATCCTATGAATACGCAGACCTTCAATGTCCCAAGAAGCAGTACAATCACGTCTCTGTTCATTTGTTTACCCTGCGAAACCATTTAACAATAAATGTCTGTTTTACTTCATAAATATTCTATGACAAACCCCAGTACCATTTACTGATGATTTTGTATTAATCTCTTTACTACTTGATTAGTACCCTCTCTTTGGATCAATGTTTCCAGTCTCATCCAAACATGCACATGGTGGTGGATTTGGCTTGATTGTTCCATCACATGGGTCGTCATTCTCACAGCAGCAGTCGCAGCAGTCCTTCGTTGCATCGCTGCTTGAATCCACGCCGTTATCAAGGCACTTAACACAAACAAAGTCTCTTCCTCCTATGATTGCACTTGGGTCCAGTTTCTCGCCCTCTGTCACCGTCTGCTGCTGCTCTGTCTTCGTCGAGTCTGCAGTCGCATCGTCGCCCGTCTCCTTCTTCTCAGCCGCCAGTATAATTTGCAGGTTCAGCAGTGCCAATAGAAATGAACTGTACATGACAAAACAGTCTACTGTTTTTTAAAATGAAACTAAAACACTTGTTTCATGGTGGACTCATCCTGGTGTATCAGGTGACCCCTATTGGCATCAATGGCCTATTCCTGTTTGATTATTCATCAAAATTATAGGGAAATTGCTCCCTGAAATGGGTAGAAAATTGGATGAATTTAATGGTAGATTTGGATTCAATGATGCGTGTTACGATATCAAGTACAGGAATGGACGAATACTCTGTGCTGGAACATACAAACCAAGCATCAAGATGTACGATGTTGAGCACCAGAACATTGTGGTAGAGAGACACTGTGCTGAGGAAATCATAAAATGTGAATTTGTTACAGATGAAAGAAATTGTGCCTTAAGAAGAGACAGAATGGTGGAATTCTACACAAAGGCGGGTTTATTGGAAAAAATCAAGTTCAAGAACGAGTGTTACGACATCAAGGCAGTTGAGGGGCTGCTGTATGTTGCAGGAGATAAAATAGGGCAATTTGACATGGTGAAGGGTGAATTTGCTGATTCAATTGACTGTAAGGCGTATGAAGTTACAGTTGATGGAGGGGTGATTGGTGTTAGGAATCACAGGGGACTGACTTTCTACGATTCAAGGACGAATGAAAGGATAAAAAGCATTGAACAAGAAGTGGTTGCATTTGACACCTGTGGAAACAGTGTGGTCTATTCTGATGAGAGAGACGTGTTTGAGTTGGATAGGCGCAATTGGAACAGCAGTAAGGTCTCTGTTGATTTCTCAGATGCGACTGTAAAACACATCAAATGCATTGATCCAAACAATCGAATTTATGGTGGAAACAGTACAATATTGTTTAGTAGAACCAATCAAAACGAGGATGTTGGATTCATCATAAACAGAATCTGTTTGGGTCAATGCAGACTGTTTGTTGGTGGAGAAAGTGAGCAGATTTCTGTTTACGACCTGGATTAAATTCATCTCAGTAACCCATGCTTTTGCGTTTTGACAGACACGAAAAACGTCTTCAATCCACTACAACGACTGATGCAATCACAGTCTTCTTCTACACCGTAAATGACGGTGGTGTGAACCTACTGGGATGCAATGACGAGGAATCAGTTTCCTTTTTGAATAATAAAAATGCAAGGGGAGTTAGTGGTGAAATATTCAGTAGAAATGAAAGGGTGTTTTGCAGCCTGGGAAAAATAGAACTAGGAAAACAGAAAAATGCAAGAGACGAGTTGGCTGCATGGAGCATACAGAGCAGTATGGGCCCACTCTACAAACACGTATCAACGTACCACAACGGTTCCTCGGTCTCATTCACTCCATTTGGGATGGTTGAAGAGTGCTATTTTGGATTCATTCTGGCTTCCTACAAATACGACCATTTGCTCAAGGAGAATGAAGATGAGACACATTTCAGCCTTGTTGTGCCTGAGGAATACACTGAAATAGCCACTGTGGCACACAGCCAGAACAAGGCGAGATTCCTGGGAGACACTCCTTCCAATCTGCTTACGCCTACGACATTTTGTGAATACGCCCATGAAATATTCAGGGGACTTGACAAAATTGAAATTGTGGTAGTGGAAGAAGAGAGGTGTCGAGAAATGGGAATGAATCTGATGCTGTCAGTTGGAAATGGATCAGCTGAGCCATCGAAGTTGCTGACTGTGAAGTACAGCGGTGACTCAAGCACGACCAGACACAAATTGGCCATGGTTGGAAAAGGCGTCGTCTTTGACTCAGGTGGAATCAGCCTGAAACCATCAAAGGACATGCACAGGCAGAAGATGGACATGATGGGCGGGGCCACGATGCTCCTGTCTCTGCATGCAGCAGCAAGAATGAATCTGCCTATAAATGCAACCTGTACAGTTCCACTGGTTGAGAATATGCCTGGATCAAAGGCAACAAATCCAGGAGATATTTTTAAGGCAGCAAATGGAATCCACGTTGAGGTGGGAAACACCGATGCAGAAGGACGCCTCATTCTGGCTGATGCACTGTGGTACGCCCAGAATTGCTACGGCGAGAGCCCCGAGTTTCTGATTGACGCAGCCACGTTGACTGGTGCAATTAAAGTGGCATTGGGCAGAATATTCGGTGGATTCTTCACCAATTCAGAGGCATTTTCTGATCTGATTTCTGGAGCAGCAGAACGAGGAAGCGAGTTGATGTGGAGAATGCCACTCTCTGCCTACTATCGGAAGCAGTTGGATTCACCAGTTGCAGACTGCAACAACGTGGGTGGCCCAATGGCTGGTGCATCCACAGCTGGTGAGTTTCTGTACCAATTTGTGGAATGTGAGAAGTGGGCGCATTTTGACATTGCGTGTCTGAAGGACGAGAGCCACATGGGCGCAGTCTACGGAAGAGGAGCCACTGGGAGACCAATTCGTGCATTTTACGAAATCGTAAGGGCTCTTTCTAACAATTAAATTGGTCACTTTTGCCCATGGCTGAGTTGAAATTTGTTTTTGGACCGGTTTCAACCGGAAAGACGGTGGAACTGCTGCTACAGGCGCATCAGATCACCAAGATCCACGGAAAGACGGCCGTGAAGCTGATGAAGCCAGCATTCGACACCAGAGACGGTGAGGCAATGATTTCATCTGCGTCAGGAATGCAGGCACGAGCTGACTTCGTGATTGGCGCTGGTGATAACTTGCAGGAGCTCGAGATGGAGCCTGGGACGTATCTGCTGGTGGACGAAGTGCAATTCTTCACGTTGGAGCAGATTATGCAACTTAGACGCATTTCACTGGAACAGAACATACACGTCGAATGCTACGGGCTGCTGAAGGACTTCAGAAACGACCTGTTCTTCTCAGCAGCGAAGCTGGTTGAATTGGCCGATGAGATTGTCCAAATGAAGACATTCTGCTATTTATGCAGCAGAAAGAGATTGGCGAACAAAATGAGGAATGCACAAATTAGTATGAAAATAATAAAGAATGGTGATGTGACTGAGCCAACATTGGAAGGTGAGTCAAAGCAGGTTGGTGGAATTGACCTGTACGTTCCAGTCTGTTCCAGGTGCTACTACACCGCATTCAAGGAGGTTGAGATGACAGCATTCGTTCTATCGCAGTCAATGCCCAATTAGTCTAACTATCCCATTTATTAAACAAGATGACTACTAAAATTATTACTGGACTGGAATTGTCTCATGAAATTGTTGCTATTTTTGCCCCAATGGAAGTGGACGCAGTTGTAGAGAGCTTTAAGGAGTTTGTGGGGGTTGCAGCCGCAAGGAACGCAGTTGATACAAATGCAAAGAGACTCATCTTCGATTTGAGCGAGCTGAGGCTGCACAACAGGGCAATGGTTGACGCATTGGTTACAGACCCAATGGACGTCATTCCGCTTCTACAGGAAAACCTGGAAAGTGACCTGAGACACGAGGTTCGTCTTGGATTTGAAGGAGCCTTTGGAAGCAACTTCGTGACGCCTCGTACAATGACAAGTGCCCATATCAGCAAAATGGTCTGTTGCCAGGGAATTGTGACCTCTGTTTCACTGGTGCGACCTAAAATAGTCAAATCCGTGCATTATGAGGCAACAAAAAAGACATTTTACCAGAAGGTGTACAGGGACAGGACGATGATAAGCAAGCTGCCTCCGACTACTACGACGTATCCAACGATGTACGACAACAATATTCTGCAGTCAGAATATGGATTAAGCGAGTATATGGATTTTCAGACATTTATTCTACAGGAGATGCCAGAGAATGCGCCACCTGGTCAGCTGCCAAGAAGTGTCGATTGTATCATCACTGAAGACCTCGTGGATCAAATCAAGCCAGGAGATCGAGTCAATGCCTATGGAATTTATAAGGCATTTTCAGAAGGTGAAGGTGAGTTTCCAACCAGATTCAAAACAACATTAATTGTAAACCACCTTGAGAAGACCAAGAAGAAAGCAAAGAGGGAACAGAGCACAATTGAGAGCATTCAGATGGTTGCTAATTCAACAATCAAGCTCAATGCGGTGGCACCTACGATATTCGGACATAATGAAATAAAGAAGGCTCTTGCATTACAAATGGTAGGTGGAAATGAAATTGTGTTGAAGAATGGAACCAGAATACGAGGAGACATCAACATTCTGCTTGTTGGAGACCCAAGTACAACCAAAAGCCAGTTACTCAGGTACGTGATGAATTTGATGCCTCTTACGATAGCAACAACTGGTCGTGGATCAACAGGAGTAGGTCTGACTGCTGCAGTTGTGGTAGACAAGGATACAGGCGATAAGAGACTCGAAGCAGGCGCAATGGTGCTAGGAGACAGGGGAATTGTGTGCATAGATGAATTTGACAAAATGGACGAGTCAGATCGAGTTGCAATTCACGAGGTGATGGAGCAGCAGACTGTGACAATTGCAAAGGCTGGGATTCATACGACTCTCAATGCAAGATGTTCGGTGCTGGCTGCTGCTAATCCAATATTTGGCTCGTATAACGATAAAATAAGTCCACAGGAGAACGTGAGACTGCCTGAATCCTTAATGACTCGATTTGACCTGGTTTTCATCACATTGGACAACCAGGGTGTTGAAATCGACCAGCAGATCGCTGAATACGCACAGGGGCATCGTTATGGAAGAAGATGACGTCATCTCTCAGGACCTGTTTCGAGAATACATTCTTTATGCAAAGGGTCTTAGACCGAAATTAAGCAGAGAGGCTGCAATGATTCTGTCACAAGCGTACACCGAGTTCAGGAGCAGAAAGAACGAGAAGCATCTTCTGATCAACATCACTCCAAGGCTGCTTGAGACGATGATCAGAATTGCAACTGCTCATGCCAAGCTGAGATTGAGTGAACAGGTGGATGAGGTGGATGCAAATGACACAGTTCAGATGATACGAAGCCATTTGATTGAGAAGATTGTGAAACGAGAGGTGAAAGTGATCAGAAAGGAGACTAAAGTTGTTGAAATAGAAAAGAAGGTTGGGGAGGCTGAGAAAGAGAGCAGCGAGGAGACTACAGTTGATGAGGAAACTAAGCTGAATGTCATGGAGAAGATTTGGATGTGGCGAGATTCAAATAAAGGAGAATCGAGTGTATTGGTAGAGCAACTGGCTTCAGAAATCAAGGCTGATTCAAAAGTAGTAAGGCAAGTTGCATTGGAGTTAGCTGATTCTGATGCAATAATGCTGGAAAAGGGAACAATTTATTTCTTAGACTAAATAAGTTACATTATTATGTAAAGAGGTTTGTTAAGAACTGTCGTTTTTGACAAGTGTCTAAATCAAAATCAGTTGATTCAGAAAGAGGGAACAACTCTTATCCTCTACTTAAGATCACTGAAGCTTTCTTGCCCTCTTACGTAACCAGTTGATTACTGTAAAAAGTGATATCAAACTCAACTAAAAGGAGTCTGATATTGCAGAATGACATAATCATATCAGAAATCAGAAGAAGTGTAGCTGGTGGTGAAATAGACTATTTGACTGCCATATCACGCCGATTATGGATCAACTTGTGAACATCAAAGAACCACCTGTCATTTAATTTGCCCTTTTATACCCCTTTTCTCTCTTTAAAAAATTTTCTCAATTTAGCCCCTATGTTTCTGAACACAACTATAATCTACCATCTACTGGAAGTGATGGCAGACACGCTCAAAGACGTGCACGGCAAAGACAAGGCAACGACAGAGAAGGATGCTGCAGCATACGATGGAACAAAGTTCCTCGTGCTGAAGAAGGCAACTTTCGAGAAGGGAGCTACTGACTTGGTGGCACAGGCTTCTGAAAAGGAGGGAGAAGGAGATTGCAGCAAAATTGATCTATCGAGCTCAAAGGATGTTGGTGATGGCTTCCTGAAGACAGATGACATCATTGCATACTTTGAGAAGGCAGACAAACTTGGTGAATACTTGAAGAAGACCGCTAAGGATGATAAGGCTCACAAGGAAGCAACTGAGTACGCCAAGGACAAGAAGTTCACTGATAACGTGCCAACGTACGTTGCAAAGGTTGTTCAGGATGCATTGGCTGAAGTAAAGGACAGCTGCGCTGATCCAAAGAAGGAGCTGACTGAAAAACTCAAGAAGGGAATCAATGAGCAGAATGCGTACATTCTAACAGCAAAAATTCATGCAAAGGTGAACAAGGACACATTCTTCTTCTACGTCTCTTACAAGACGGATGGAAAGGAGTACAAGTCTGAGATCATTGAGGCTGAGAAGACGTCGGACGGATTCAAATTCAAGAAGGGTATTTCTGCTGGATCGGGCTCTGGAATGGGAACTGGTGCAAAGGTTGCAATCGCAATAGTTGTAGTAGTCATTGTTCTAGCACTCGTTGGTCTGGGAATCTACTTCTACTTGGCATCTAAGAAGAAAGAGCAGGCAGAAGATGAGAACATTGGAATGGGCAATGAACCTTAAGAACTAAATTAAGTGGACAGATTTCTACTCTTTTCGTTTTATAAAAGAACTAAAAATTTAACCACATGACTCAGTCAAACAGCAAACTAGAATACGTAAATAACTTAGAACGAAAGGGAAGAAGAGAAGGACGTAGAATAGAGGTGGATGAGAGTAGGAAGAAGTTCTTTATTACGTTTCCATATCCATATATGAATGGTAAGCTTCATTTAGGCCACTTGTATTCAATATCTAAGTCAGACTTCTTTAGCTACTACATGGAGCAGAAGGGATATAATGTTCTATTTCCATTTGGATTCCATTGTACTGGAATGCCTATTTCAGCATCAGCACAGAAGTTGAGACAGGAATTAGCAGGTGAAAAAGTTGATGTTTCTGTTATGGAAATATTGAGGTCTCTTGGATTTGAGATGACACATCCAATTGGAGAGAAATGTGATAGAGATATGTGTATTTGTAGATTTGCTGATCCATATCACTGGTGTAGGACATTCCCAGAATATTGTAAGAAATCATTAATTGAGTTTGATGCAAATATAGATTGGAGTAGGTCATTTATCACTACAGAAATTGATCAATATTACGATTCATTTGTGAGGTATCAATTCAGGAAGTTAGAGTCGAAGAAATACATCAGTTTTGGTAAGAGATATTCCATATATTGCCCAGTTGATAAACAAATATGCTTGGATCATGATAGAAGGAAAGGAGAGGGTATTAAACCAATTCCAGTGGTTCTGAAGAAAGTTGGAATGAATATTCTGGTAGAAGCAACCAGTTTATCAACAACTGATGAGATTATCACGTCTGAGGTGATTGAATGGGTTGAATTTGGAATTGGAATTGGATCAGAGAAATATGTAGCTGAAAGACTCATTTATGAGAATCTAAAGAATCAGATTGAAGATGTTAATGAATGCACTGAGGTAGATTTGTGTAGGATTCATAACAAGGTGACAAAAATATCAGGTGAAAAAGTGTTGAAAAGAAGTTACTTAAAAAGCAAGGGTGAAACAATAAGTGATTTAGATAA